AACCCCGTGTAACCGACTGTCTATAAAAAAACCCGAGTCGCCGGCGCGCGCCAAGCGCCCCGCCGCCACCACCACCCCAGCGCCGCCGCCCCCACCGCTCCCACCAGCCGCCGCCCCCGCTGCAGCCCGCGCCACCCGACGAGCCTGACCTCAAGACGCGGCAGCGCGCCGGCCGCGTCGCTTTTTTTATACATGTGAAGGAATACGAGAGACTGACGATACCTGCGCTGATGCGGCCGCCCAAGCCCGCTCCAGACTCGGCGTCGCCACCAGCGCGTGGTGGGACCACAAGCAAGCTGGCAGCCGGAGCGAGGCCCCCAGCCCCTCAAGGACTTACGAGGAAACCCCGCTCCCACCGGGGCTCCGTGCACCGGGCGCAAAACACCGCGCAATGCCACTTGAGAGCAAGTAGTGATCATTGCGGGACCGTGAGCAAGGCTGCCGCTGCATGCACCACCCGAGCAACCACCCCGCCGCCACACCACCGCAGCTCAAACCCAGACAAGCTCAAGGGCTGGCCCCGGCCTGGGAACCACGAGGTGCTCGCGCCGCCTAGCTCAGGGGCGTCAGACTTGGCGCTGTGCCAGTCCACGCGCACGGCACGCTCCACGCCGTTGATGACGTCATCGACAACGTCAGCCGCTGCAAACTGCTGTCCCGTCACCTGCCGCCGGCAGGGCAGGCGCCACGCCGCCTCCAGGACCGCAAGGCGTAGGTGCGCCCACAGCTCCCCACTGCCCGAGGCCGGCCGCCAAGCTGCAGGGCTGTCCTGCAGCCGCACCTCGGGCGAGAGAGGAGGGGCGGGCCCGCCCCCAGTGCGCCTGATCCCCCTCCTGCTTGGCGCTACAGCCGCCATTGCACTTGTGACCTGGTGTGTCGATGCAGCGCGACAGCCGCAGCGCCTCGCGGGGAGTGGATCCTTGGGCGCTGCCCCTCAGGCCGTGCCGCTCCCACGCTGACTCACTCAAACTTGTAGCTGCTGCGGACGCGCAACATGCTAGCCAGCGCTAGACCACGGCCAGGAAACCCGTCTTGGCCATATGCCCAGTGCTCAATTCGGCCTGGGGGCACCCTGACATTCCTGCCGACAGCCAATGCGCCCCTGGCCCGTTGATTACTGCCTTGGACCAGCATCAAGCACGCGCCAGCCTGTCGCACGACAGCGGGCTCGGGCGGCCGCATCTGCGCAGGTGTCGGCAGTCTCTCGTGTAACTTCACATGTATGAAAATAAGAAATCATGGGTGCACAGCTTGCCACCCACGCACTGCTTCCAAATTGTACGTGTGCCTGGCAAAACAGCTTCCTGCACACCGGGGTGCCGGAGTCTGCTGCAATCATGGCAGTGATAGAGCAGCAAAAGCAATAACACAAAAGCGCATGTGTGCATTCCAGGATACTCATGTAGAATGCTTATGTGGTGATTGCCCAAACCACGGGCAAAAGCATTTATTTTTTATACAGTGCCACGCCCCTGTTTCAAGGCTTGGTGGCACCTTACTTCTTCCCCTTCGTGCAGCTGCGCGGCAAGTTCTTGCCCTTCCCCCTGCCAATGGTCCCTCCCTCATCCTGCTGGGGCTGGTGCTCCTGCTGGTGCCGGTCCTGCTCTTCCCGCTGCTGCTCCTCCCGCTGCTCGCGCGCCTTGCGCGCTGCTGCCGACAAGCACGTCTCCCTCATTGGCGGCCCCTGGTCAGCGGACGTGGCCACACCAGCGGGCCTTGAGGCTGCAGCTCGCCGCCCGCCGCGTCGCGGCGCCTCCACGCCCATCGCTGTGCGGCCACAACCAAAGCTGTGCCCGAGCGCGTCGTTGCTCTCCTGCTCCCGACCCTCCTGCTCCTTCTCCTGCTGCTGCTCCTGTGCCTGCGCCTCGATTTGCACCTGCTGCACCTGTGCGCGCTTCCCCTGCTGCTGCGGCAGCAGCTGCACCGCCTCCTGCGCTATGCTGAACACTGAACAGCTGCCCTGCCGCGACTCCTGCCACGTGCTCAAGCACCCCTTGGCGCCCGCCCCGCTGGTGCTGCCCGCCGCCTGACTGGACTCCTGTCGGCCTGCCGTTGCGGTGCTGCTGGGCGCCGTCGTGACAAGGAGACCTGCAGCAGGGTCCTTCTGTGTTGCCGCTGCCGTCCCCGCCACTGCCACCGCCGACGACGATGACCCCTGGCCTAGCAGTGCTTCCCCTGCATCGGCGCCTGACGCCACCACTTGCCGCAACAGCACCACTGCGCCCGCCGCCTCTGCCGCAACACGCACTGCCGCAGCCACTGCGTCTTCTTGCGCAACCCCCCGCGCCGTCGCCTGCGCAACCGCCAACGTGATTGACAGCAACTCTGCCTCTGCGGCGCCCGTTGCCGCCGCCTGCGCGTCCGCTGCCGCCGGCAGCGCGTCGGCTGCAGCAGCAGCGAGCACCTCATCTCTGGGCACGCCGGTGGCAGCAGCCGCCGGCGCCACCGCAGAGGGTTTTGCCGCTTTCTCCCAGCCATCATACGCCGGGCCCTCATGCTCGGGAACCACACCCGCACCGCCCGCCTCGTTCGCCATCGCGCCGCCCAGATCCTCGCCTGCTTTTGTGGGCTCGCCGTCCTGCACGCGCCCGTGGCTGGCCCCCAGCTGCCCCATCTGCCTCGCCTTAGCCGCCGCCCGTCCCACCGCCTCTGCATCGGCCAGCGCCTCCGCCTGCACGAACCGCGCCAGCATCTCGGGCTGCAGGAGCTCAAGGGTTTGGTGCGCCTGGGCGGCGGTGGGCCGGTCCTCCGGCGCCAAGCTGAGCATCCCCCTGGGGATAGGGTCGGTGTCAACAGCAGGCGGTTCGAGTGTCAGAGATCCAGGCAAGGAGCTGAGTCGATGGTGAGCCAAGACAGCTGAGCGGCAGATGGCGGCAACGGGATGAAACTCTTTGTGCGTGGTGCATCACACACAAATGCCACTCACATGAGCATTGCAGGCGCTAGTCCCCGAGCGCTGTCAAGGGGCCCATCGCAGCAGCACCGCCTGTACTCACCTCAGCAAGCCCTGCAGCGACTGCGGCGTGCCCATCCTCTGCAGCCCCTCCTGGACCCCGACGCGTGCCCGCTCCGCCTGCTGCATCAGCGACGCTGCGCACGGCTGGCCGGCCACTGGCAGGTCAAAGTCAAAGATGTCGGTGCCGCCTGAGCTGAACCGCTCAGAAAGCAGCCCGATGTCCGCCAGGGCCGCGGCGGCCCTCCACACGTCCCCCTGGTGGTGACGTGCAAGCGCGTTGGGGGAGTGCGCATGAGCCTGGGCCGCTGGTGGAGACTGTGTGGGTACGTGATCATGTAGCTGCCACGACTTGTGGCGCCTAACGCATTTTTACTGGGTGAAGGCGGTTTGTTGCTCTTGGGTAGCAATGCAAGACGCACCACATGCCACCTGGCGCCAACCTGGCCGTGCGCTGTGTGGTGCGCAGGAACGTCCTCAACAAACTGGCGCCGCTGCTCAGGTGGCGCGCTGCGGCAGTATATAAAAGGGTGCGTTCGTGATGGACAAGGGACGGGGCCAGGGCAGGGGCGATGCCACGGCACCCCTCGTCAACCCCCCTCCCTCCACCTTGCACAGCGGCAACCCGTAGAATGCATGTCGCATCTGGCCTGTGCCCCCACCCCTGGCTCACCGGTAGGCCGCGTAGAGTGGCAGCAAGCGGCGCGCATCGCCCTCGATGACGTGCTCCATGGCCGTGCTGGCAACGCAGCCGAAGTCGCTCATGTATAGGAGGGCGGGCGGGTCGTGGGTCCGCAGGGCGTGCAGCACCGTCGAAGGGCCGGCCCCCTCCTCGTTGATCATGGCGGCGATGACGTCAGCGCTCGGGCCCTGGGTTGTGGCAGAGGACAGTGGTGTGCGAGTCAGTTGCACCTTGCCTGCGGTATGCAGTCCGCGTGCTGCTGGATCGGGTCTCTCTGATGGCGCTCCACCTGGCTGCACCGGCAGGCAGCAGCACTCTGGGCCACTGGGGCCGCGCGCCAGTGACTCACCACATACACGAGGTCCCTGCGAGGCGGCAGCCGAGCAGGCGGGGTCCAAAGACGCGGCAAAAGAAGGCAGGCGAGGGGGTGGGAAGGGGGACAACAGCGAGCGGTGCCAGCCCAAGGCCGTTCACTCGCCCAGGCGTGTGGCCTCATGCCTCGGCCTTTCCCAAAGCAGGCTGAGTCTGGGGCGCAGTATTGGCTGCCACCACCACACAGCGCGCAAGGAGCAACCAGGAAGCCACTCGCAGACTTGCCTTGTGCTGAAGGACCCGTGCGCGATGCAGGCGCGGTGCAGGGTGGCCAGCGCGAGCAGCAGGCTGGGGCCGAGCGCGACGATCAGCACCTCCCCAAGCCAGCTCAGCATGTCTGCTGCAAAAGCCTGCGGCATGACGAGATCGCGTGCATTGCTCAGCATGGGCGTGCCAGCAGAGTGGGCATGGGGCAGGGCTTGGAAGCAGCAATGCATGCGGCAGAGGGCTGGCCTGTTGAGGGCGTCGTGATTGCAACTGGCGTGTGGCAGCGCTTGCCATGGCCTTGCAACGAAGCCGAGCGCTCGTCATGGCCCTGAAATGCAGCCGCCCACGCACCTTGACTTTCAGCTGGGCAAGGAAGGTGTCAAGAAGGACCCCGTCGGCTTTTGCACCCATGAAGACTGCCGGCATCGAGCCTGACACCGCCACGGCCAGCAGCGGGGGCGCCATGCCCTTTCCCTGCAGGAACTTGTGCACCAGCGCGGCTGCGATCGGCACCGCAACCCCAGAGGCGCTGTCGAACATGACGCGCGTCACGTCGATGGAAGTCAGGCCATACCTGCGGCGGTCGCGCCTGGTGTAGGCGGCCGACTCGCCGTCGGCCTGCGGCAGGTAGGGCCCGCCCTGGTGCACCTGTAGGCACAGCAGATGGATGCGCAGTCAAGAAGGGGCCCGCAATGCATGCGCACATGCGCGTTTGAAGCCGCACCTGCTGGGGGTCAAAAGCCCACAGGGTGGGGACACGGGCTGGCAGGGCAGCGGCTGCAAGCGGGGGGCTGCAATAACCAAGGCCATGCTGCTTTGCAGCCGGACTGTCAAGCCTGCCACCACCACCCCCCTCTTCAGGGCTCACCAACTCCTGCTCGGCCACCACCTGCACGCCGGCGCATTGCAGCGCCACCTGCAGCGTAGTCTTCACGATCTGGTCACTGAGGGACCTGGCCTCCAGCGCAGCGGCCAGCCGGAGCAGCTCTATCCGCGACAAGAGGAAGGTCATGGCAGGGTCTGCCGACGCCGCCACGTGCTGGTGCAGGGAAGCTTCCACCCGTGCCTGCTGGTCCTCCGAGGCAAAGCGCAGCCCGCAGGCCTGCAAGGGGATTTCCGCGAATGAATGCACTCGCGGATGAGAATGGAGGGCACGCTCGAACGTCGCAAAGAGAGCTGCACCCATTCGACCGCACCCGCGCAGTGCTTGCACATGCTGACAAGCATAACGACCGTTAGCCAGCCCTTGAGTGCCAGACGCGACCGAGGAAACGCACAGAAGCGCATATGCGCACGCTGCAAACAAGTAACACCAGAGGCATGCACCCAGAAGGCTCCAGGCGTAATGGCGTGCCCGCAACCTTGCCAGTGTCCCTGAACTCCCTACGCCAGAACGGCCGCTGCACACCATCACGGTGTGCAGCGGGGTGGTACGGTACCACCCCTCAACAGGCTGCAAATTTCACACAGTCCACTCATCATGACGCTCAAATTGAGTGATATGTTCTTGTCCATGTTCAAGTCCTTGAGCTGCGCGTCCATCGCCAGCGGTTGGCGCAGGAGCGCGGCTCACTTCGCCCATGCGGGGCCCACCAGCTGCGCTCTGGCCTCGCCGAGCAGCATGCCCACGTCTTCTGCCAGGCCCGCCACCAGCTGGTGGTTGAGGCTGGCGTGGCGTGTTTGGACCCTGGGATCCCTGGCGACGCGCCGCGATTCCAGGAAGCGCAGGCCCTGCCGTGCCCCTGGTGGGAGAGGGAAACGGTTTGATGTGGGAAGGAAGTGGATTTACAGGATAGGAGGGTTGCTTCAAGAGCATATAAAGGGGTGCAGAGGTGGGAGAGACAATGGACCTGATGGCACGGACTGCAGGGTCCCTTTTGGACCACCCAGCTGGCTCTGCAGCTCGGCCCTGGCTGCACAGCAGGAACGTTAATGCACCATCCATGCTCGCACCCGAGCGGCTACCCCCTGCCCTGCCAGCTCACCTGCTGCCGTGCCGAGCGAAAAGGTGTCAAGAAGCCAGCGGCTGGTGACGCCAAAGACGTTGAGGACGCCTGGGTCTGCGAGGTGCAGGATGACGGGCGCGACGCGCGCGGCGAGGGCCTGCGCCAGGGACAGGAGCTCGGCGCCCTTGCCGGCGCGGGCGCCCGCAGCCGAGGCGCCCGCACCACGCCGTGGTACGCCTCTAACGTTGAGGGCTGGCGTCTTGTCGTCCGCGGGGGGCGGCATGGCGCGGAGCTCGCGCTCGATCTTGGCGGCGGCCTCCAGGTCGTCGGCAGGGGCGTTGATGGGCGTGGCGGCGCGCAATGCAATCGCGTCGCGCACGATCATGAGCGCAATGATGTTGATTGACGCGGTGAGGACCTTGATGTGGGTTGGGGCAGGGTGGTTTGGATGGGGTTCAGGAGGTTGCATTGCGGCGAGCTGGAGAAGGGCGGGGCCTGCTGTGTGCAGGGGTTTAAGACAGCAACCGGAAAGGGGCAGGCCCAGGGCGAGACTTTGATAAGACAGCCCGCTCAGTCTCTATGCATGCATGCGGCACTAGCTACGACCCTGCATGCCGTCCCTAAGGCATACTGGTCATGTTGCATGCGCATGCCGCCACGACGAATGAAGGGCGTCGCCCACCTCGGTTGGGAATATGGCGCCCAGCACGAGCAGGATGGCGATGTGGATTGTGACGCCGGCGACGCGCATGGTGCGCCTTTTGACCGCGTGCATGGCGTCCTGGGTCTTGATGCCCCGGCCCTCGAAGGCCTCCTCTACAACCATGGCCGCCGTCTCCCTCACGCCTGCAGGTTCGTTGGGGTCAGTCAGGAGGGCAGCCGCGAGCACATTTTGAAGGTGACGGTGCAGGGAGTCACAGACAGAAGATATACAGCACCCGCGCGCAGCGCAACAAGCCATGCAACAGTGCTCATGCATGCCGCAGCAGCCCAGGGCATGCATGCATCCAGCTGAGGGTCGGGCACGCAACTGTCCAGTGCAGCTGGCTGCTGGAGGAACGCCCTCCACCCTGTATGGCACCGCACCTTGTGCGCGCTGCCCGTGCGTTTGCCCCACCACAGCATCGTTTAGTAGCTGTAAGCTGTCCGCGATCGATGCCAGTTCGTTGCTGACGGGAGCCCCCGCCATGATCGATCTACGGTATACGTGGCTCCAGCGAGCGCCTAGAGGAGATAAACACTACATGCATACGAATCTACATGATATGTCTCGCCTTTCAATCAAGCCCTGGAATGACGGCATGGCTTTGCAGCGCTCCGTAACGACCGCTGCGGCTCGTGCGGAGGCCGAAAACGAGAGCAACATGAGTTCTGTGACAATAGCATCGGAACTTCTTAGCACGCAGCCCTCCGCGGAGCCCAGATCACGTCGCACAGATGAGCTCTTGAACGGTCAACCACAACGTCAGTGCCCTGCGCTTGGCCAGCGAGTATGTCATCAGGCTGGCACCTCAGCCCACACACAACCGCATGCAGCAAAGAAACAAAACACAGTAGATGAATTTCAGAACGTGCCCGACAACGTGTCGGCACCGCTCTACACACCCTGGCCCATCTAGAAACCTGTGGTTTGGACGCGCCCCAAGACGGCCAGCAGTACAGCCCTGTTGCTAATGGGTGCATGATGCTCTCAATTTGTTTGCCATTTGCACCCTCTCATGTGTCAGCCGTTGACCAATGCATGCTTGCCGCCCTTTTTCCCCATCGCCGTCTATTGACTGCGATAAACACGTGGCCACAACCTGGGTCACCGGGCAACTCAGCCGCCACTTTGCTTGTTCAGTCCGTCTTGTGTGAATTGCACAGCAGTAAACCCTCACACATGTGTTTAGGTGCCAATGTTTTAGCCTCCCAGGTCGCCTGGCGCTGGTCCTCACTGCTCACTCTCTCGCAGCAGTGAAATTGCTGGCAGCTCCAGCCATGAGACAGGGCAAGTTTTCCAACAAATACCCCTGAACACTCTCTCTATCGCAAGTTCTGTCATAAAAAGCCTTGGCTGAGGTGTCAGGAGACCGCGCAACGCCTTGGCATTTTATTCGTGCCATGGCAAACTTCGATTGTGTCACCCTCATCCAACAGTGTGTACAATTGCTGTCCAAGCCGCACATCAGCAATGATAGTGCCAGACCAACCGGACCATCAATGGAGAACGTCGTGTTTGGGTTTGGAGTAGGAGCAGTTACACTTGAACCGGCTGCACGAGCGTGCGTGCGTGTGCGCGAGAAGGGAGGCGCGAAGGGTCAGGAGTACGCAGTACATGGAAGAAAAAAAGGCGCTGTATAAAGATAGACAAGACGATGTAATCTAGCCTGACAGTGGGACAAGACTTGAGGCGTGTTGACATGCAACAGCAATCTATGGGTGTTGCGTGTTGCATCGTCGGCAGTTGCAAGTCACACAAAAGCATGCGCACACGCTCTTCAACAGCACAGCGCTCCCTGGCGGCGGGCAAACGAAGAGGTGCGCGCCGGCACCCTGGGAAGGATGCCAGCCGGCAGGGCAGCAGCTCACGCAAAAAAAACGGACTTTCGATGGCGCTGACGAACACGCGCGGCTGCGCCGTGCCGCCCGGCATGGTCCCCTAATGGCGGTTAATGGCATTGCGACGGGCGCAAACCGCAAATGACGGGCCCGTTCGGCCAAGGCTGCGCCAGGTCACGCCATCTTGGGGATCAGCTTGCCCGAGGCGTCAACCGCCGACGGCAGCCCCGCCCCCGCGGCCGCCGCTGCGGCCGCCGCCGTGGGCTTGGGGGTGCGCTTGGGCATGGCAGGCAGCAGGAAATAGCAGTTGATGGCGGACGCCACGGTGCCCAGCAGCCCAACGGTGCGGGGCCGCATGGCAACCACCTGCAGCAGCCCCGCGGCGGTGCCGGCCTGCACTAGCGCGTGGAACAGCACCAGCAGCCGCCCGTTGATCTCCGCCTTGGCGGTCTGCTGCCGCTTGGCCCACTCGGCGTCCCCCTCGCCGTCGCGGCGCGGCGCGGCCGCCTCGGCGATGGCGACGGCCTCCAGCACGATGGTGCAGGCGCTGCCGAGGGCCCAGCCCCAGAGGGACAGCTTCTGGAAGCGCTCGCCGACGGCCTTGTCGCTGACGAGGCCGATCTGGTAGGCCCACACCACGTGGTCGGCGGCAAAGTAGACCGCCATGAGAATGTCCTTGAGCTGCGGCGCGGGTGGGGCAGTGCGAGGGTGGGTGGTTGGGGGTCGATGCATTGGTCGGGTTCCAGTGGATGAATGACTGGGTTGGGCTGGGTCCAGTCCTGCGCATTCGTCAAGCGTGACAGTATAATAGAGTCAGGCAATGTCTGGCTGGGCGCAACAAAAAGTTGAGGGCACAGCCAAAAGCAGACGAGAAGGTGCAGCATAGTGAACCACGCTGCAAGCGGCAGCCGTGCAGGCGACTAGTGCTGTGGGCAGTAATCTGGTGGCGAGCTGGAGAACAGGTGCACAGCCGCTGTGAACGCACCTTCTGGATGGCCTCAAGCTGCCAGGCCTGCTTGCCCGGGAAGCCAGGATCCACCAGCAGCGGCGTCAGCGACTCGAGCGGCTGCAGGTCGTGTGTGAGGCCAGGGGGAGGAGCATCAGCAGGAGAGCGTGTGATTTGTACTGCTGCCTTTGCTGCTCACTTGCAAGCAGGCAGAAAGGAGCGCGCATGCTGCTGCCACTCATGCTTCTGCCATGCATGCTGTCCCGTGGCCGTGGGCTTGCAGCATCCTGTCACTCACCCGCATGATGCGGAACACCTTGCGTGCCGCGGTGACGCTGGCCTGCACCTTCTTCAGGTTGCCAGGCTCACCCGCGGACGCAAATAGGCAGGCATACTGCGATATTGAGGGTCATTCGTGGGAGGTAGGAGCGTGCATGGCGCTAAGGAATGCTGCGCTCTCAAAACAGGATGTGAGGCGCTTGATGCAGCCGGTGGCGGTGCGGCGCGGCGGCAACAGCGCGCGCTGAGCTGGGGTGCCTGGACGCTGGTGTGCAAAAGTAGCGTGCCGCGCCGAGCGCGCACGCCCCTCGCGCACTGCTGGTGCACCTGCACAAGCGCCGTGAGTTTGTCCTTGCCGTCTGCCTTGGCGCAGAAGCCCTTGATAACCTGCCATTTTTAGGGCGGACGGGTGAGATCGCTCCACGGGAGTGCAGAGATCCGTAAAGACAACGCCCTATGACTAGCGTCTGTCAACACACCTGCAGGCCGTCGTTGCACTGCTGGCGGTCCAGCATAGCTGCAGGTTGGCGAGACGCGCGGGGTGGCTGATGGGGAGCCCGCAAGACGGCACAAACGGAAAAAGTATTGTCGTGAAGGAGTGCAGAACCTCGTTGGATATAGCTTCGCGTAAAAGAGGTTTGCCCGCACGGCAAAGGGATAAGTGTTGTGTTGCAGGCAGCCGGGCGGCGTACAAGAGCTTGAAGCAAGCTTACAAGATGTTTTCCTGCAGGGGAAGCCGATTGCGCTCGCTGCAATGCCCAGACAGCACTGAAACAGGGCGGGGGCTGGGGAGCAGTCACACAACCGTCGCTGACTAGATGCGGCACACATGGCCAACAGCAAGCGCACGCGAGCCATGCTGCGCGTGGAACAACAGCGAGGTCACGCCGCAAAAAGCGCGAGCGTCCCGTCCTCCTGCGCGGCTGCCACCAGGCACGCGGCGCCTGCGGCACCGCCGGCCGCGCAGACGGCAATGCTGTTGACCGCCGCCTTTGACTCGCATGCAAGCGGCGGGTAGAACCCGTCCGGCCCTGGCGTCGCAAACGCCGCCGCGCCCGCCGCCCGCGTCTGCCCCGTCATCGCCGCAACGTCCCACATGTGCAGCTGCCCCGCCTCGCCGCCCGCGACCAGGAGGCGCCCGTCGCACGCGCAACAGCGCAGCGGCGCGGCGCAGCGCGCGGTGACCGCGACGTCGCCGCCGCGGCGCCACTCCAGCAGGCGGACGGCGCCGTCGGCAGAGACCGCGGCCACATAGGCGCCGCCGGGCAGCAGGCAGAGGCCGCCTACGTAGTCCCCACAGACCTGCCAGGTGGAGAGCAACCCAATGGTCAATTTCGAACAGCCGCACAGTCAGCGGCAGCTTCCTGTGATGTTTGCCTACCGCATGGCTCTCAAAATTGGGGGCCGCCAGGCCCCTTACTCAGCCGCTGGCCCTGCAGGCACCACCAACCACACCCAGCCCGCCTTCGCCCCGTAAGCCCCCACCCCGGCCGCCTAACAGCCCCGACTCCCCAAAAGAATCGTGCCTCGCGACCGCTCTCCGAGCCCGGCGCGCCCACCTTGGTGCTCCACGCCTGCCGCCGGCTCCGCAGGTCCCAGGCCGACACCGCACCCTCCTCCGTACCCGCGACCACCAGCTGCCCGCTGCCGCTGCCCGCGACCGCCCACACCCCAGACTCGAAATCCCGCAGCTCCGCGGCGGCTAGGGGCAGGCTGCTGTCCCACGGCTGACGCCCCTCAGCTACATCCCACACCTTGACGCTGCAGTCCCAAGACGCGGTCACCAGCCGCACACCTGCGCCGCTGGCCGTGTCGCCGCCGCCGCCGCCGCGGCCGAGCCGCGCCACGCACGAGACCGCGTCCTCGTGCGCCGCCCAGCTTCCCAGCAGCCGCCCGGCCGGCGGAGAGAAGGCGAGCACCCGGCGGTTGGACGAGCCGGCGAGCATGATGACGTCATGCACATGGTGCTGAGTCAGCAGGGGCGCCCCGACAGGTCCGGCTGCGGACGCCAGGTGCGGCTTCTCGGCAGCCGCCGCAGGCAGAAGGCAGAGGGACAGGAGATCCTCCTGCAGCTTTGCAGATCGCAGTGTCCCCAGCGCGGGCGCCCCCAGCACGCGCAGCAGCCCCCCGTGCCCTACGCAGCACGCCAGGCCGCCGGCGGCGCCGGGGCCGTCCGCGGGCGCGCCGCCGCCGGCGTGCGCGCCGAGGCTGCCCGGGCTGGCGGTTAGGGCGACGGCTGAGAGGGGCTCGGCCTGCAAGCGCAGGGAGCGCTTGAGCAGCAGCCGCTCGGGGAGCCCCAGTGGCCACGCCTCCGAGCCAAAGGGCGACGCCGGCTGCTGCTGCTGCTGCTGCTGCTGCTGCTGCGCGGGCGGGGGCAACGGCGACGGTAACGCGGCTCGGGCGCCCGCTGCGGGCTGGGTGCCGCCTCGTGCGCTGCCGGTGACCGCGACGCCCCGCGCAAACTGCTCCTGCACCCACGCCAGCGACAGCCGCGCCCCCGCGCCCGCGCTGCCTGGTGGCCCTGGGCTCGGGCTGCGGCGGTCGAGCGGTGCCGCCACGCCGCCCGCAGCCGCCGCGGCGCTCGAGCCGGAGGGAGGCCCCCCGGCCTGGTTGGACAAGGAGGAGGCAGAGGGCGTGCGACCAAAAATCGCCTCCGAGGCGGACGCGGCGCCGGACCCTATGCGGCCCACCATGTTCATCAGCCCGC